AAAATATTATTTTAAAATATTTTTATCAATATAAATAAAAAAATTAATCAAATTAAATATACATACAATACATTATATAGTCATAACAATTATTTGTATGGTATAACAGGGGCCTCAGAAATAAATGAAGTGGCTGGAATGGTCTGATGATAGGATCCTTTCTGTGATTCTGTCCTTCCCATTTTCACCAACAGTAAAGTGTTGGAAACTGAAGACACGAGAGTCCGAATTTATCTGCAACCATCATGGCCCCCCAACTGACTTGGGTGTCATCTAGTGGTGCTACTTCAGATACCTTCTCTGCCTAATTATGAGCACCAAAAATCAAGTTTACTCAAACTTAATTATCTCGGAATTGGACACAAACCCCCACTCCAATGTTAGCTACTTCTTTTAATATCCATACCATATTCGGTCAAATTTCCTCATTACAACAACTCCATTCAGACCCACTTTCTCTGTCCTGTCTTCTCCTGCCTGCTCCACAGCACCACCACCTTTTCCTTCATTTTTGTGCCATTTTCATTGCCAGACCCCCTTCTCCGCCCTCCATCAATCCCCATTTCTCATAGATTCGGTGAACAAAACAACCATGTTCTGTAGTTGGTCACCATCTTCTTCTACTCTTTTCCTTCTATTTTTATGAACAGGCAATCCTGGTCGATGCATGTTCATCTTTGTTCAAGAAAACCATGTTTTTCTTCAACAGGAATAATCTTTATTTCTTCCTCTGTTTTCTTCTACTTCTTCTACCTTCGCGAGCTCTGAATACAGATGGGGTTTCTCTGCTTTCCTTCAAATACTCCATTCTGAATGACCCATTATTGGTCTTACAGAGCTGGAACTATGATGATGACACGCCCTGTTCGTGGAATGGAGTGACATGCACGCAAATCGGAAGCCCTGGGACGCTGGACATGTTCAGGGTCACTGGCTTGGTTCTTCCAAACAGTCAGCTTCTGGGTTCAATCCCTGTAGAGCTTGGTTACATCGAGCACCTTCGTTATCTGGATCTCTCCAACAACCTCTTCAACGGATCTTTACCGGATTCACTCTTCAACAAAACGGAGCTCCAGGTGCTTTCCTTGTCCGGCAATGTGATCTCCGGCGAATTACCAGAGTCTGTCGGTGGACTGGTTAGTCTTCAGTTGTTGAATCTCTCCGACAATGCCTTGGCTGGGAAGGTACCTGAGAATATCACTACTCTGAGAAACTTAACAGTTGTTTCTCTGCGTGGCAACTACTTCTCCGGGGGTATTCCGAGCGGTTTTGGGTCGGTTGAAGTGCTAGATCTGTCTTGGAATATGCTTAATGGGTCTCTCCCATTGGATTTCGGCGGTGACAATCTCAGTTACCTGAACTTATCTTACAACAAGATTTCTGGGTCCATCTCACCGGAGTTTGCAAAGCGGCTTCCGCAGAATGCTACAATCGATCTCTCCTTCAATAATTTAACAGGGGCGATTCCAGAGTCTCTCGCTCTGTTTAATCAGAAAACAGAGTCGTTTTCCGGTAATGTGGGCCTCTGTGGGAGGCCCCTGAGAAATCTCTGCCCAATTCCTTCGACTCTCTCCACTCCACCAAATATGTCGATGAGTATATCGCCGGCTATTGCAGCCATACCAAAGCAAATTGACTCCAGCTCTGGAACAAACACACCGGAGGGACCGAACAGTACTCAAAGGGGCGGTATGAAACCCGGTACGATAGCAGCAATTGCGGTGGCGGATTTGGCCGGAATAGCCATTCTCGGCATGATCATTCTCTATGTCTACCAACTCAAAACCCGAAAGAATCCCAGTCAAGAAACCGCAAAAACAAACCCAGATAAAAATCCAGATAAAAAAGTTGCAGATTTTAATGTTATAGTCTCAAAAGCTGAAGTGCAAACTCCAGAATCATCATCATGTTTATGCATGAAATTAAAACAGGTGGAGACGTCGGAGACGAGTACCAGCTCTGATAGCGATCCAGAAGATCAGAGAAACGTGGGGGCAATCAATGTGATGAACTCGAACACAGGTGAGGGATACCAGAAAGGAGGCAAGCTGGTGATGGTCGACGGTGAAACGGAGCTAGAGCTGGAGACATTGTTGAAAGCTTCGGCGTATATCGTCGGAACAAGCGGGTCGAGCATAGTGTACAAGGCGGTGCTAGCGGACGGGACGGTGTTTGCGGTGCGAAGGATTGGGGAGAGTCGCGTGGAGAAATTGAAGGATTTCGAGACCCAAGTGAGAATCATTGCCAAATTAAAGCACCCGAATCTGGTTCCGGTTCGTGGGTTTTACTGGGGAGAAGATGAGAAGCTCCTCATCAACGACTATGTCTCCAATGGCAGCCTCGCCACCGCCGGTTACAGTAAGTTCCGTCTCCATCCTCTGTTCTCTCTTTCTGTGCTGTTTACCGCGCATTTTAGTTTTTTTTTTTTTTTTCACTAAAATACGCTTCGTAATCCTCTTCTACGTTAGCCTATTTTTTATGATTTTTTTTTACAATAATACATAATCATTTTTTATTTTTTAT